GGGGATGGGGATGGCCACCGAGCCTCCTCCATCAAGGTCAGAGGGGTAACCCGACACACCGGGACCCCGGCGAGGAGCCGGTGGCGTTTTGCGGTGACGCCGGAGCCCACCCCCGAGACCCACGAGTGTGGACATCACGCAGGACCCCCCAAAACCTGGAGCAAAAAGCCGTGGATCACCCCAAAGCGCTTGGTGTCGGGACCCCGCCGTGCGGGGAAGAGCCCGGCGGAGACCCCCAAACCCGGCATCTCTCCCCCAAACCCGGCATCTCTCCCCCAAACCCGACACCTGTGGTTTTTTTTTGGCTCCCGGCCCCGTTTTGGGCTGTTTCCACCCAGGATTTCCCCCCAAAAAACCCTGGCTCACCTGTCGGGCCGCTCTCTCAGCCCTGTTTACGCCGATCCCGGGGACAAAGTCCGTGCCCGTCACCCCCGCACGGCGGGGACCGGCGATTCCCCCTCTCCCCCAAATTCCGGGGGTCTCCCCCCACCCCGAAACCCCCGGATAACCCCCCCGCCCGAGCGCAGGTCCCGCCCCGGAGGAACCCGAAACCGGGGCACCTGCGTCACGGAGCGGGGACGGGCCGGTGCCACCGGCGTCGTGCCAAGGGCTGGGACGGGGGTGTCCCTGGGGGGAGAGGGGTCACCCCCCCGAGGGCGACGTCCATCCCCCCCCCCGGGGAGGTGATAAGGACCGAATTCCTTCATCCCAACCCAGCCGCGGGGTTAATCATCAACCCGGGGACTGGAAAATCCCGTTCCTGGCCTCCTCCAGGGTGTGTGTGTGGGGAAGGGGGGGTTGGAAACCGAAAGCCCCCCCTCCCTGCACCCCAAAACCGAACCCCGCTCTCCATCCTCTCCCCCCGGGACCACCGGCACCGGAGGAACCGCACCGGAGGGTGCCGCGGGGAGCCCCGGCTCCCAAAAGAGTCCTGTCTTTCCAAAACACAACTATTTTCATCCACAAACTCCTGGGGATCGATATTTCCCTGGGGGGGGGGGGGGGGGGG